ATTGATGCTGCCGGGATTTTTATTGGATATAAAACTGGTAACCTCCAAACCTTTGAATTTCAGCATGCAAACTGCAGCATCAAACCCTAGTAAATTTTTATTTCACTCTGGGCTCCTAAAGTCAAGTGGCTCTCTGTCCCTTGAGTATAACTCAAACATAATGTTTCACTCCACCACCAGCTGCTTTCTTGGCCCAACTCAGCAGGAACAAATCCACACTGAGTGCTCCATGCCTCAATGCCTTCAGTAAGTAACTCCTTTATAGCTGTGCTGTGACATAGAGCCCAGGAAGTCAGGTAGATTAAATATGTATCAATGTAATCATAGAATTTTAAAACTAGCAGAGACCTTAGAGATAAGCTGGAACAGCAGCCTCACATTATAGATGAGGAAACTGAGGCCTGTGGAAGTTAAATGACTTGCCCAAGGTCATACAAGTAATAAGTGCCAGAGGTGGGATTTGAACCTGAGTCCTCTGACTTCAGAACTAATTGTCTATCTAATGGGAAAGAATTTGTCAAAGGTCTCACAGCTAAATGTTATACCTCCTCTTCTTTCCCCTCTCTCTTTTTCTCATCTTATCAGCTCCCTTAGGTTCAATTATTACAATTACAATATTCAATGATTACAACAATCTATCTATCCAGCTCTACTTTCTGTCCAGAGCTCTAGCCCCAAGTCAACAACTGCCTATTTCTAACTGGATATCCCCTAGGCATCCTAAATTTGATATGTCCAAAAAGAACTCATGATCTTTTCCTCCAAACCCATCCCTCTTCCAAACTTCTGTTTCTATCAGGGGCATTCCCACCAATAACCCAGATTTACCACCTCAGCTCTTCACCTTCTTCAGTCTCCACAAATCTAATCAGTTTTAAGTCTTAAGGATTCTGCCTCCACAATAGATTTCCTATCCCTCCTCTTCCCTCCTCAAACATCTGCCACAGTAGTCTAGACTTTCATCACCTCTTGCCTGGACTATGATAGTCTCCTTCACTAATTAATCTCTCTGCTTCTAGTCTTTTTCCTCTCCAATCCAACCTCCACGTAGAGTGGAGTGCCACAGTGATATTCCTAAAACACATCTGACCATTTCCACTATGCTTTGTAGAATCCCTAGGTTCCTTCAAAACACAATTTAAGTGCTAACTCTAATATGAAGTCTTTCTAGATTCTTCTGGTTTCCAGTGCTTTCTTGGACTTTAAATTATCTTTGATTTATTATATATTTATGTTGTAGAGTCAGCTAGTGGATAGAGAGCTAGACCTGGAGTCAGGAAAACCTGCCAGCAAATCCTGCCTCAGACACTTACCAGCCGTGTGACTATGGGCAAGTTCTTTTACCTCTCTCAGCCTCAGTTTCCTCATCTTTAAGATGGCTACAGGGGCAGCTAGATGGCAAATTCAATAGAGTACCAGCCCTGGATTCAGGAAGACCTGAGTTCAAATCTGTCCTCAGACACTTGACACTTATTAGCTGTGTGACCCTGGGCAAATCACTTCACCCCATTGCCTCGCACAAAAGAAAATAAAAAGCAAACAAGAAAAAAAAAAGAAAAAAGATGGCTTTAACAAAAGCACCTACTTTATGGGGTTGTTGTAAGGTTTTTGTATCAAATGAAATTATATATGTAAAGTGCTTTGCAAGCCTTAAATGGCTATATAAGTGTTAGTGATGCATGTGTAAATGTTGCTTTCTCCAATAGAATTCTTTGAGGGCAGGGACTGTTTCTGTTTTCTTTTTGGATCCTTATCACTTAGAACAGTGCCTTGAACTTAGTAGGTGCTTAATAAATGCCAGTGGACTGATTTACTGATTCTCTATAATCCTTCAAAACTCAGCTAAAATGCCATCACCTACAGGATACTTTTCCTGATTCCCCAGAAACTGATAGTGCCTTATTCTCCAACACACTTCTATGTGTACATGTTGTTTCCTTCAATAGAAAGTAATCTCCTTCAGGTCAAAGGCTGTTTCGTTTTCTTCTTTTATCCTTAGTCCCTAACATAGTACTTGGAACAAGGTACATGCTTAATAAATGCTAGTTGATTGATTCCAGTTCTTAGAGACTATGATTCGGTGAAAATGGTGGAAGAGGATAGAAAAAAAAAGTTATGCTTCTTCATCCCTCCAAAAGACTCTTCTGATAGTTTTATAGGAATAGGAACTAAGCAGGACTACCCATTTGCCAACCCTGACAGTCTTCCCCCAAGGAGGCAAGAGACAATAGAGGCACATCCCATACACCCCCTCAGGTCTTGCTTGGGAGTCCAAAGAAAAATTTGCATTAATTTCAAAGACTCTGTTCTCAAAAGAATAAAAGTTTCAGAATTCCAAATTTTCACTCTCCTATATTTCAGACTTTGAGAGTATGGCATCTAACTGGCCCTCATTGTTGTTCAGTCATTTTCAGTCACGTCCAAACCCTGTTTGGGGTTTTCTTGGCAAATTTACTGGAATGCTTTGCCATTTCCTTTTCCAGCTTATGTTACAGATGAGGAAACTGAGGTAAATAGGGTTAAATGACTTGCCCAGGGTCATACAACTAGTAAGTGTCTGAAGCCAGATTTGAACTCAGGAAGATTAGTCTTCCTGTCTTCAGGCCCAGCACTCTATCCACTGCATCACTGGTCCTCAGTTCACCCTAAAAAGCACTAGAGTGATTTCAATAGTTCCTGGATTTCATTTGTCCTTGTATTTCTTTCCCTCAGTCAAAAAGTTCCCACAGACTTTAATTTACTGGCTGGAATGAAGGGTTCCTGGAGGCTGGAGGGCTCTCTATTTATATTTCTGGGATCAACAGGAGCTAAAGGAAGCCTGTTCACCCATTGGCAGATTGTACTCAGCAATACAAATCTGCATTTACCCAGCATGTCCAAAGAAAGATTTTGAAATGTTGACCATTCATCTGAAGACTCCTGCCCCACTCTGTGGCCTAGAAACTTTCTTGAGAGAGAGAGAGAGAGAGAGAGAGAGAGAGAGAGAGAGAGAGAAACCGACAGCTTAATCTTTTGTCAACCCCATCTAAAAAATACCAGCAACAGAGACTTCCCAGAAAAAAAAAAGAGCGTGTAGGATTATGCCTTTCTGTCTCCCAGGAGTACAACTTACTGATACATAGCTCCATCTAAATAATAACACCCAGATGTTATTTCAGCTCTTCAACAGTCTTGTGAAAAATGACTCTGAGTGACCGAGCTCAGGCAGAATCCATAACACCCAGGTAATTAGACGTTATAACTGCTGGGCTACATATTGGGGTTTAAGTGCCTCTCTTCTGTGTGGCTTTCCCACACCGGGATGTGTGTTGCATGAGGAGGGTAGAGTATGTGGGGGGATTTTAAGTGCAGGATGTGTTTGTGTACTAGAAAAAGGATCTTTAGTGAAGATAGAGCCTCCTGGACCCTGCTGCTGGATTCTATGTCTCCTGAGCTTCTAGGATCGAAGGATGATGGGCTCATTAGATTCAGAGATGGAAGGGATCTCAGTGGACATCTGCATCAACCCTCTCACTTTACAATGGAGAAAAGTGAGTCCCAGGGAAGTTTAATGAATTGCCTGAGGTCACAAAGGTATTAAGTTTCAAAGGTTGGATTTAAACCCAGGTCCTCTGATTCTAGAAATGGTCAAGAAGCATTTATTAAGCCTTTATTTTGTTCCAAGCATGATGCTAAGTGCTATTCAAAGGCAAAACAGTCCCTGCCCTCAAGGAGGTCACATTCTAATGGAGGAGATAATATGTAAAAAAAATTATACACAAAAGATACTTTTGTGTAAAAGGTGCTTTGTAAAGCACCACATATAATCATAGTATGATGAAGCTGGACAAGACCTTAGAGGTCATATAATTGAATACTCTCATTTTTCAGATGAAGTAATTGAGGCCCAGGGAAGTTAAGTCACACGGTCAAAACTGTTCAACAAGTTATTGAGAGAGTCAGGCCTGGAACCCATGTTTTCTGACTTTTAATTCAGGGGCAGCTAGGAGGCAAAGTGGACAGATAACTTGCTAGAGTTGGAGTTGGGAAAGCCTGAATTAGAATCCTGCTCTAGTATGTTTTAGCTGTGATACCTTAGACAATTCATTTGGCCATGGCCAAAGGAGAGACAAGCAAATTCTTGCTACTGGCCAAGGGAGTTGACCTACAATTCTGAGCTTTGCCCTCTCCCCTCCCTCACTGTTGGTAAAACAGTTTGTGGTTAGGAGAACCTGTAAAACAAACAGGAAGGAGGAAGCAGAGAAACACTGCAAGCAAAAAATATAAGTGAGGATTGATGAAGAGCAGACCAATTATGTCTGGAGTAACAATAATGAGTCAGGGTTTGGACAGGGCCATTTCAAGATCCAAGAGCTCTGGGATGAAACCTGAATTGTTGATTGGAGTGGAGAAGGTGAGGAAAGATAGTGACACACACTTCCTTTCTGCTTCTCTCTCCAGAGGGCAAGTCCAATGAATTGTGAGTTATTTACTGACTTTAAATTCCTTTCTTCCCTTTAGGCTTGGGAAGCAGTTAACTTTTGTTCTAAACTCTGTTTCTTAAGCCAATAAATGTGATAAAACTGTTAATCAACATAAACCCCAACTGTTTTTGGTAATTTTAACTAAGGCTAACATAGAGAGTCTTTGTTTTTGCAATGAAGAGGTTTGCCTGAGTTGGGCTGGAGGCTTGGAGTTAAACTTTGTAATGGGTGGGGTTGGGGCTATACTCTGCATGTTTGGCAAAGAACTTGAAACCAGGAACTCCAAGTTAGATTTGAATTGATAAGAAGCCATAAGAGGGTGTACAGCAGGGTAACCACATTGACCAAAAGCCATGCCTCCATGAAAGAAACTGAAATGAGTTCTTAGGGAAGCTCCACCCACACCAAGGAATGTGGTAATGAGTCAGGGCCCTGGGCTCTGGAGATGATTGACAGCACATCCTGCCCCAATAGTGTGTAAGTTCTTTCAGGCAGTAACTTTCACTTTTTTCTCTGTATTCTCAGTGACTGGCATATTTCCTGGTACTTAGTAGGTACTTAAAATGTTTGGTAACCCTAGTCCCAAAATGCACTGGTATGGGTCTCTCTCCTCATTGGTAGGGAGCAATCCCTGCCTCCTCCAGGGGCCTTGAGAGGCCAAGGAACTGGCGAAGATTTGCTCTTAGTGTTCTGGAGTCACTTGAATCTATTTGGGCTTCTGTAGTTACTTCCATGGAGACAACCTCACTTAATGGAAAAAAACTCAGGGAAGAAACTAACATGCTAGGAACTGGCCATCTCCATCAGGTCCCTATCCCCAGCTTGCTACATCAGAGACTTTGAGGAACTTCACCTTGGGTGAGAACTAGCACTCTTTCTTGGTTGAGTTTAATTACCTCACTCTCATTGGGAGGACTCTTTCACTCTGTGATGTCACATATGTACATATGTGTGTGTATTCCTGTGTATATTTTCTCTGATATCTATTTGGAAATCAACTTGGATCAATGGGTTTATTTGCTATGCTTTGTTTGTTACCACTTGGAACTGGTATTGGGTGGGAAGAGAGTCTAATTAATGAAACAGTGATTAGAAGTTAATCTGAACCTCAAAACCTCATCCCCAGATTCATAATGTTTAAGGGTGCAGATAGATATGCTTCTAGCCTAGTACCTTTTCTCTACAAGGAGAGCAGAGTGGCCAACTCTTCAGGCACTGGGAGAGTGAACCTTTTCTCTCTTGCTAACTCTACATTACCTCTCATGCAAGCCTAGGTCATTGATTTCTACCAATGCGTAGAGTCCCATACCAATGGTTTTGGGACTAGGGTTACAATTTCTTGAATGAATGATTTAATGAAGCTATAAAATGGGGCATGAGCAACCATCTTTATAGTATTTATCTTCCCTGGGTTATGAGAAAAGTGCTTTGTAAACCTTGAAGCACCTCCAAAATGGGGATTATTATACTTGTGATAGGGGACTGGCCAATGAAAGCACAAGTGCTTTGTGCACTTAGGTGAATGAAGCTTGTCCTTGTAAGTGAAGCTTCACTTTCAGAAAACCAGGCTCATTTTTATAGTGCAAAGTTTTCCTGGGGCCTGAATCATAAAAACAGATTGTCATGGCATATATATGCCATAAGGAAGGTCTAAGAAAAAGAAAGTTTTTCATGATACGAAACAATTATGGGTTTTTAATGGGGGCACAGATTCATGCTAACTTCATATGCTTGTCAACTCTGTCTGGACGTGTTTGGAATCAATGTCAGAAATCAGATGAATGAGACAACAAAGGAGATGAAAAAGGGAGTGCAGGAATTTAGGTGGCAGCCATAGGAGAAGAGTTCTAAAAAACAAATGTGGGAGAAGCCAGGTCTATCTAATAGCTGACCTGATGCAACAGCAACAAATGAAAAAAAAAATGATTGATTTCATTAGCAAAGTGAGACTCTGGAACTCTTTTAGAGTGAGACCAACTATATCTTCCCTCTCAAGGTTCTAGGGTAGCCCTGAAGGAGTAGAGGTGATTATTCTCTAATGTTATTGGTCAAGTCCCATTTTGGCACGTTCCCCCTACTGTTAACCACCATTGTTTATTGTCCAGTTTCATTTAATCAATTAACATATATAAGTTTTACAAAAGAATATTTACTGGGACATAGCAAGATAAAAAGTTATAAGTATTTCTTCCCCAAAACTGAGGGCACACTCTCACATGTAACAACTTGGCCCTTATGGAGAGTGGACTCAGACTTAACACAGTCTCTGCATAGCAGTCAACTCACCAAGCTCACTCAAAGTGGGGCATGACCTATAGATGAATAACCCTGCTACTTCTGGTCTGAATCAAGTAGTTTATTTGGGACATTGCACTGTCTGGCTTCTGCAAAATCCCAACACAAACTTCAACACCCACACTTGTGGTGGGCTCATTCTCCTGTTCTTCCAAAGCACACAAGGTTGTGCCTATATCGAATCTTCTTCACCTAAAATCTGGGAGGAATAGACATAACAGTGGCAGCCCACCAGGCAGGACAACTACACCAAGAGACTCATTTTGGCTGGTAAGTGCCTTTGGAATCTACCCCAGTTCTGGGATACACAACCAACCAATGACTTCTCTTTGCCATGCAATTAGTGGACAAGAAACAGTGGCCAAATCTATGTGCATACTCCAAAATTCGGTTCACCAGCCCTCCCTCCCTCCCACCCCTTACATTACAAAAGGAATCTTTCCTTTTAAAAAAGAGTTCATAGCCCTATCTTTTGGCAACACTTGGAGCATTTGACTCTGTATTTAATAGAAATTATAATAACTGACATTTAACTAGTGTTTTCAAACTAGGTGAATTGTGTATGCCGTCTCATTTGAGCCTCACAATAACCCTGGCATGTATTAAAATCCCCATTTTGTACATGAGGAAACTGAAGCTCAGAAAGATTAAATAAATGACTTGCCCATAGCCTTATGGCTTAGGGAGGTATAATTGACCTGCTCATGGTTACATAGCTAGCAAGTGTCAAGGTATGGGGGTGCAGTTTGAATCCAGGATTTCCTCTTTCCAAACCCAGCTCATCATCCACCACATCAGAGGGAAAAGGTAAGAAGGAACTTGAGGTAAGTGTCTTTTTTGAGGTAAAGTGACTTTAGTTGTGAAATCACTATTAATTGAAATTCAATCAGAATTAGAAAAGAAAACAAAACCATCTCAATGTGTGGGACAGTGACCCTAACACAATGAAACTCAGAGACTTCTCAAGGTGGAAGCAAAAGTTACTCTTTATTACAATCTCTCGAGAAGGGGCCTCCAGTACACTACCAGCAGGAGAGAGGCAAGGCACAAAAAGCAAAATGAGGTTATATACCCTAACGTAAACAAACCCCTATCCCCTGCAATCCCTTCTTCTCCTTGGTGGGAGGGGGGCTTACAATCTAGGCTCGAAAATTCTTCCGTGGAGACAAAGAACAAGGAAACAGGGTATAGCCAATCCAAACATATATGTCCTTATTTAGCAAACCTAATGCTGATGTGGCAGTGGTGTGGCAATCAAGGGGGTGAATGGCCAGAAAGCCTGGACAAACAAGATACTTTCAGGGGGACGTTGCCTGATGTACTCCCTTATCTTGTTTACATATTTGTGTAAACCAACAAACCAAGAAATCAATTAATCAATAACCTAATCTCCCCCTGTCCTGTTTTCCTATCAATTCTGTGGGAGCCACACTGTTAGCATTCCTCACATCAGCAAGGGGAATGACTTCTGAGAGGCTAGGTAACTTTCTCCCCTGTTAACCACTTGGTTGTGTACAATAGGTACACCTTAGATAACTATTACCCTTCACCATTTTTTGGGCAGTTAGATGGTATAGTAGATAAAGCACTGCACTTAGAGTCAGGGAGTTGTTTAAGTCATTTCAGCCATGTTCAGCTCCTCATGACTCCATTTGGGGTTTTCCTGGCAAAGATACTGGAGTGGTTTGCCATTTCCTTCCTTAGCTCATTTTACAAACGAAGAACTGAGGCAAATAGGGTTAAGTGACTTATCCAGGGTCACACAACTAGCAAGTGACTGAGATTGATTTGAAGATCAATATTCCTGATTCCAAGCCCAGTGGATGACCTGAGTTCATATCCAACCTGAGACATTTATTAGCTGTATGACCTTGGACACATCCCTTAACCTCTATCTGCCTCAGGTTCCTCATCTTTAAAATGGAGATAATAATAGCGCCTACCTCCCAGGGACAATGTGAGAACCAAATGAGATAATATTTGTAAGGCACTTTGTAAACCTTAAAGTTTGATATAAATAAATGCTAGCTATTATGACATGTTATGTCACAGCAGTAGAATACTAAGTGCAGAGGCTGTTTAGAGTTTATTTGCCTAGCATCTAGCAAAATGCCTTACATATAGTCAATGCTTAATAAATGTTTGTGTATTATGTGATAAAATGGAAAGAACACTTCTAGTACTCAAAAGACCTGGGTTCAGGTACTAATTCTTCCATTTATTATCTGTGTGACTTTGGACAAGTTACTTCACCACTCAGGAATTCAGTTGGACCAGGTGACCACAAAGACTTCACTTTCAACTCTAAATCTTGTGATCTGTGAGTTGAATTGATGCTAGAAAACAGCCCTAGAGATCTTCTGGGCCTACCATCTCAATTTTACAGAAGAGGAGACTAAGACACAAGCAGTAGCATTTTTTTAGGCATCACCTCTCCTGCAGGCACCGCCAGCTAAATCACAAGGAGGTCTTAAAAACTTTGGGTAATTGGCCCCATTGCATGACAATATGACAATAATCTACCCTATTGAAATTGAAAGAGCTCTTTACATGCTGTCTGCCGTGGTCCTTATGGTGTCTGGATACGTGAGTTCACATTGTGGTGATGGATGGAGCTGTAAATAGCCCAAAACATTTGTCTTTTCATTTTTCACTCCAGATAAAAGTAAACTCCAGCATATGCCTCAATACAGCAGTCAATAAAAATAGACACTGCTGGCAAAGGAAGAAGCTATAAATCCAGGGGTCTCTAGCATTTCCAGTGTTATCTCTAATTTGCTGTCTCTATGTGAATTTCTTTTGTTCACCTACTGAATATTTGGCCTAGAGGTCTTGACCAGGGTGCTGGTAACATGGCTATTTCTCTAAAAACAACTTTACAGTGGGCAGGATGCCCAGGAACATTTCTGGCTTAGGAAATGTCAGTCCCTGGCAAGGGGCTTTTGGACAGATCTCACAAAGAAGCTGGGCATATGCCCAGAAGGCCAGCACACCAAGCAGGTTCCAGGAGCTCATGTCCCAGAGGCTGCCACCTCCCTGACCTTAGCAAAGTGCAGAATATGCGGATTGCCCATTGCTTATCCTATTGGCTACAAATAAAGGAGTCACGCAAAGAGCAGAGACAGTAAGCTCCCGGGTCCTTTAAAAAACAAAACAAAACGAAACAAAAATATCTTGTAGTTAAAAAACAAAAACAAAAAACCTTACTGCACTTTTGCATATCCAGTGTCAGTACCTGACCCAAAGAATAAATATTTTTATAGCATTTTTAAGTTGGTAAAGTGCTTTACATATGTTATTCCATTTGATCCTCAAGACAGCCCTGTAAGACCGATGCTATTATTATCCCCAGATGAGGAAACTGAGTTTGAGGGGAGTGGAGGATTAGCTAGGATTCAAACTCAGGTCTTTGTGACTCAGAATCTATCCACTATGCAACCTAGATGCCTCTCGTAGGGTAGAAGTTTTTTATACCATGGCACCAGAGAGAGGCAATACAGGCTAGTGGGAAGAATGTGGAGCTGAGTCAAGAGAGACCAAGGTTCAGAACCAACCTCTGCTCC